ACCCCTACCTTATACTATCATCCATATGTCTATCTAATAGTCGCTTAAATGCTCCTAATGAGGCCGACTCCACTACCCTCTCCGGCAATGCATTCCACGCCCTGACCATTCCCTGAGTAAAGAACCTACCTCTGACGTCTCCCCTATATCTACCTCCACTCACTTTAAAACTATGCCCCCTCGTAATAGTTACCTCCACCCTAAGAAAAAGTTTCTGGCTGTCTACTCTATCTATACCTCTGAACCAAGGCCATCTACTTTTACAGTTTTAATTGGCGTCATTATTTGCATTCATAAGGCCACTCTGAATGTTTGGCTGCATTTCAAGACTTGCAGAACTCCTATCTCAGCAGGGGATTGTGTGAAAGTTTGACAGTTTTAAGAGATTATTAACTGATTAAGTATTGATGTGGCTTATGGGAATTTTTAAGTATAAAAGAATGGTGTTATAATAAGGTCCAGTATTTCAGCTTAGTCTGTGGCTTGTAATATGGGGAGGCTTTAATTTACTGCTGTTCCAAAGGCATTTATTTTTAATCTACAAAGCAAACATCAGGCCCTGCCCCATGATCGCACATCTTCCTCTGACCCTCATCTGGTTTTGGCAGAGCTTGGCAATCCTATATTGAGCTTTTGCGGCAAAGAATGTTCACCAAGCAGTGAGGTAGCGAGCACTCTAACACTTTTCCAGCCTGTGTGTGCTGGGCTTCAGTGAATTATGTTTGTGCATCGGCTCCAATGCTGTTGCCCTGGAACAGAGCAACCAGATACCAGAGGTCAGTGCGTGGATACCAACCTCGTGATCATCCTAACCACTGTGCTGCTGGGCCAAAGGTGATGCTGTGATTCATATGTGGACCATTACAACATAATTCCACAGCTCTCAACAGCTACTTCGATTTTATTTTCAGCTCTTAAAGCCTGTTAGAAACTAGCCTTCTTGTGTTCCTAATGCAGCTTCAGACCAAACCCTGGAAAGGACAAGGCCACTGTGCTGACCAACATGAGCCAGTGCTGGAGTCCTTCGGACTATGTCCAGCTTGAGAGAGAGCATTCAGAGTTGTCACTCACCAGGCCACAGGCCTTTCTTGGCATCAGAGAAACAGCAATGTAGAGAACATGCTGCATCCTTTGCTCTGAAGGAAGGTAACAGCTTGCACACTCCTCCATGTTTGTTCCTGATGCCTCGTCACTTGATTCATTAAGTGATGCCGAGGTCCCTCAGCCTTGCAGCTTGGAAAACAAAAAGAAAACATTTGCAATCTGCCTTGTTGCAAACTACGACATCAACCAGTAAGAATCTGCTGTCAACACAACAGAAATATATCTGCATGTGGCTATACTAACTGAGACATCATTTCTTTCACAGGGATTTTATATCATTTACAGGCACCTCCTGGTAAATTTCATTCAATACCATTGTAATTTGAGCTGTGCAGTGATATATTGGTTAAATGATGTACTATTGATTTATCAGCTGCATCTGACTTGTGTAAGTGCCTGCTCCTTCCTGACAACATGAACTGAGCATCCCACAAGTTCTGGAAAGTATGACCGTGCTTTCAAATTGTATTCCTTACAACTTCAAAGATGCTTCACTATGTGCACTAGGTAGATCAAAGAGGTCAACCCATTTTTTATGAATAGCAGTCCAACCATAATGTTGCGTGAATTCAAAACAGCCAATGCAAAACTGACTTTTTAATCATTTTAAAGCATTTTTTGTGTTAATAGAGAGTCATCAGAATAATGTGCTCTGCTTTTATGTGAAATGTCTCCAGCATTCAGGCAGCAGTGAACAAAGCTTTGTTTGTATCTTTTAAGTGTTCAAAGAGAGAGAGAGAGACAGAGAGATCCCCACTGCCAGAGCACAGTGCTAAATGATAAGACTACTGTCAGATGAGACACCTACCTGGGAACAGTGAGGCTTCTTATCCAGCATCTTGTTTCTGTTTTGAGGAAAAAGTTGCAATTTTTTGCTTCAAAAGAATATGAATTATTTTTTACCCAAAGGAGGGAATGAGAACTTTATATACATTGGACCACACAAGGCTATCTTCCCTGCAGCACCCGCTCCTCAATTCTAATGCGCTGAAGTAAATCACATTAATAATGTGAAGCAGGGGTTCTGCTGAGGAGAAAAATTAATCAGAATAATGGTGCCTCACTGTGAGGAGGGTAAAATGGGACCCATTTTCATAAAACTTCTGGAGGAGAAATTTGTTTACATTGGGAAGGTTTATAGGGCACAAAATGATGATACAACTTTCTGAGTGTGACCTATTTATCGCCGAGAATTGCCTGATCCCATGACATGACAGCTGAATGCTCAAGGTGCCTCCAGACATTCAGCCCCTTAAGTGTATTCATCAGGGGCCTAATGGCAGCTTCAGGACCTCGGTCCTCAATCTGACTAAAAAAAACTCCGTATACCTCCCTGAGTTTACCTCAGTGGCCAAGCCAGTGTCCTCGAGTAGACACTGGAGGCGACTGGTAAAGTCGAAGACTCTCCTTTTCTCATTGAATTCAGTCTGGTGCATTTCTGCTCTACCTGGCTTTACAGCAGTGCTACAGTGGGCAGCATTCACACACTACCATCTGCCACCCCTCGCCTTCTCGGATTGGCCTATCATCCATCCCAGTCTCTAAGCTAGCCATTCCGCAAAGATAGCAAGCAATTGAGAGGCACAGTTTCACAAGAATGAGCCTTGGGCCTTCCATTCAGGCACTGATTTCCCAGAGATTCTTGTAGCTCTGTTCAGAAACAGTTTGTCCGATTTCTGTAGTTAGTGGTCATTGTATTCCTGATACTTTTGCCATTTTAACTGCTATTTTCTCAAGAATATTTACTCCAAACCCTACAAAAATCTATCTAGGCCTCCTTGTAAACTCACAACAACTGGCTATTGTTGCATTAACTAATGACAGAGTGGAAATGGTAAGATGAAGTACTTTGCTGCTGCAAGCTGTCATTGGTGTAGTGTAGGCACAGAATAGTAAAACCCTTTAGAAATGTGTGTCGCTTTCAGACAAAAGGAACTGAGTTTTCCTTGATCTGAAGTAGCAAAGAACTGAGATGTGGAGCTGCATTTTAATCAGGGTCTGGACTAGAATCTGTCATTGTGCAGTCTGTGAGTGTTTACTGCATTGAGATGTGGTACCTCAGTCTCAGCTGCCCTACCACTCAAGGAAGAGATAAAGGGATTCTCCTTCCTGAGGAAGTTATTGTTATTTAGCTCAACTTTCAACACTTTGCTTCCATTTTAGCTCGCAGTATCAAGATTTATTTCCATTTCAGACATGTTGTTGTGCCTTCATATCATGTGCAGTTTGTCTTGTTTGATCAATACACCCATGCAGAATAGCAAGGATACGTTTTTTTTTTAATTCAAATCTTTGCCCTTTGTCAATGCCAAGGTTTGGAACCAGGTTTTCAGTAAATTTGTCACTCTGAGGATGACAGTGTAGGCAGTTTGGGCTGGTAAGTGGTAAGGCACATTGGTGCCACGTAAGTGTCAAGCAATAGTCATCTGCAACAAGAGAGACCATAACTACTGTCCCTTGACATCGAAAGGCATTAACATGGCTGAATCATCCACTATCAACGTCCTGGGGAATACCATTAACTAGAAGCTGAACTAGTCCAACTGTGTAAATACTGTACCTCAAGAGCAGATCAGTAGATAGGAATTCTGTGGCAAATAGCTCACCTCCTGATTTCCCCAGAGCCTTGTCCACCATCTCCAAGATACAAGTCAGGAGTGTGATGGAATTGTCTGCCTGGATGAGTGTACCTCCAACAACATTCAAGAAACCTAACATTATCCAGGGCAAAGCAGCCTGCTCGACTGGCCCCTCATCCCCCACCTTTTAAAATTCACTGCCCCTGACAAACAGGTGGCAGCAGTGAGCACCAACAATGAGATACACTCACCAAGGCTTCTTGGGTAGCACCATTCAAACCTGCAAGCTGTTGTAGTCTGGAAGGACAAGTGCGGTAGGTACATGGGAGCATCGCCGAGGGGTCCCCTCCAAGCTACACTATCCTGACTTGGAACTGTCTCATGGTTCCTTCAGGGTCTCTGGGTCAGAGTCCTAGGGAATCCTTCCTAAAAGCACTGTGTGGGTGCCCCTACACACCCAGGGACTGCAGCAGCTCAAGTAGGCAGTTCACCACCACCTTCTCTAGGGTAATTAATGATGGTCCAGCCAGCAACAACAAGCTAAAAACAAGTCAAATGTTCCCTTTGACTGTGTTTTAACTTTTAAAAACTCAAATGGTCCCTTAAAACCTATCTCGTTGATTGAGTTTTAGGTCATATGCCTTTCACCCACTTTATCCTCTTTAGTCCTGACATCCAACTTGGCTCATTTAGATCATCCAGGTTATTTCATGACATTTGTTTATGGTACCACTTGCGAAGCAAGCAATACAGTTTTCAAACTGTTTTCCTTAGCACTAATTATGTCATCAAAGTAATAAGTTGAATTGTTCCCAATAATAAATTAAAGATACTTTTCAGCTGATCTGATTATAGTGTTTAATAACATGTGATTGAGCAGTTGATAATATTGTAGTTAAAGGCATGCACGATGATGCTGCAGAGATAGTAGGAACTGCAGATGCTGGAGAATCTGAGATAACAAGGTGTAGAGCTGGATGAACACAGCAGGCCAAGCAGCATCAGAGGAGCAGGAAGGCTGACGTTTCGGGCCTAGAAGGGTCTGAAGAAGGGTCAAGGCCCGAAACGCCATGATGATTCTGCGTTCCTTTGTTTTTCAATGAGCTTGAATGATCAGCTGTACAAAGGAACCCGCTGAGCTGTTTCATAAGCAGAAGAACATTTAGAAAGTCATCGCCACTTGCTTATACCCTTTGACACGTTGCTATTGTGGTGGGCTGCAACTTCTCTGGAATGCAGCTAGTGTAACAATAGGGTGTACTAGTGCAAATGTCAACATGCTGTCACTCACTTACATGCAATGTTCTTCCTTCTCAGGCTCTGAGTGAAATTTGTGAGAACGAAGAGACAGCAGAATTCCAAGAGAAAGAAACTCGGAAAGTGAATCTTCAGAGGTACGAGACTGGATTCTATTGAGTAATGATTGGTTAGTGCTTGCAGGCTCTCTGAACAATGTTTAACCTTTACTGTGTGCACAGCTCATCTTAGTGCCTCTGGACTATGGCTGGAAAATACACTCACTCTGAGTCCCACAGGAAAGTACATATGCATGGGCATCAGGTGAAAATAGCTGTCATACTCCATTTGATAAATAAAACACAACACTTAACTGGGGCCAGTATTATTTGTCTACCATTCTATCAAATCGGGCAATATTGTGATTCAGAGCAGTAAAATAATGCGTGATAATAATAATGGCACATGCCATTGATATCTGTCCCATTTCCATTTTGATGTTCAGCCACTGTGAGTAGCAAGACAAAACAAAACGGGTAGTGCCTTTCCTGACCAAAGGATGTTCCAAAGTGCTATACAGCCAATAATTCAATTGAAATGTAGTCACTGTTGCAGTGTAAGATGTGTTGCACTTTGAGACTCCAGTCGGTGACTGAGCAACCTATGCCCATTAGAACTCTATACACAACAATCTAATCAGTGGAACTTGAGAGGATAACTGGAGACTGTTCCCAAACTGTTGTATGGATTTTATCGAAACTTGCAAGAAGCATAAATGCACTTCCTGACTCCTCAAAAATCTTCTCACTTGGTACTTGAGACCCCAATGAACCGCATTTCCCCCTGTGCACAATCTCCTGACCCTCTACTTTACACAGAAATGGCCACCACTGTGCTGCTGAGCATTTGTTCAATTTACAGTCCCCTCCCATCCCATTGGACACCATGGTGGCTCAATGGTTAGCACTGTGCCTCACAGCATCCCAGGGATCTGGGTTCAAATCCAGCCTCAGGCAACTGTCTGTGTGGAGTTTGCACATTCTCCCCGTGTCTGCACAGGTTTCCTCCCACAGTCCAAACATGTGCATGTAATTGCTCATAGTGTCCAGGCCTGTGTAGGCTAAGTGGGTTAGTCATGGGAAATGCAGTGTTACAGTGATAAGGTCGGGGAATGGGTCAGGGGGAAGTGCTGTTTGGAGGGTTGGTGTGGACTTGATGGGCCAAATGGCCACACTGTAGGGATTCTCTGATTTCCCCATCAGCAAGCTGGGCAGTAGCACTGGAAATTCCACTTGTGTGAAGCCTGAAAACAATAGCTACCATTTTCCAGAGAGGCTGTATGGCTTTTCGACTCAGTTATGAGTAACAGTTACATGGAGACACTCTGGTAGGTTGTCATGAATCAGTTCCTTCCTGAAGAGAGGGGAAATGTTTAGAGTAAAAGGAAAAGACTTGACAGACTAATTGGTAATTTCCTGCCCACCAATATTGAATGTTTGTAAGGGAAAATAAATTTAACACTTTGAATGTATTTTTGGTGTTATCTTACTACTTTGACAGCAGCTAGGACAGAAGACGACTCTTCCATCTCATGGTGTGGTGGAGGTGTGGGTTCCTGTCATCCATCATTGTGATTATACTGGTCAGATGGTATTTAAAATTGAAAATAGATTTATATGCTGAATATATTTCTGATTTGAATCCCAAAAGGTGAATTGCAAGCAAAAATGCATCTACCAAATCACTTCAGTCATTGTTAAATTAAATGCATTAATTTTAGGGCAAATCAGAAAACAAAATGTTGCTTTTTGGGATTATTCAAATCTGCCTGAAATTGTTTTCAATGACAACTAAATTGCCTAACTCACCCCTCCCCAGGACCCTCAGTTTTCAATTGGTAAATGTTTAGCCCAATATAGACCCATGGTTGATTACTAAAACATTGTGACTTGGTCAGTGACATAGTCCAGAGATGCTGGAATCTGAGTTTTGATTAGAATAAATAAACAAAAACATGAGTTATCCCTCTCTTTGCGCTGATTCCAATAAAAATGTACGAGGATGTCGGATAAGAACATGACTGATGCACTGTTCTCTGGAGAAGAGAAGGAGGAAAGATTCTTGGCAGTGTGGAGGAGCAGAGGGATCTTGGGGTTCATGTTCATAGTTCCCTGAGAGCTGCCACCCAGGTAGATAGAGTTGTTAAAAGGCGTATGGTGTGTTAGCTTTCATTAATAGAGGGATTAAGTTCAAGAGCCGTGAAGTTATGCTCCAGCTATACAAAAGCCTGGTTCTGGAGTATTGTGTCCAGTTCTGGTCACCTCCTTACAGGAAAGATGTGGAAGCGTTAGAAAAGGTGCAGAGGAGATTTACCAAGATGTTGCCTGGAATGGAGGGAGGGTCTTACGAGGAAAGGTTGAGAGAGCTAGGGCTTTTCTCTTTAGAACGACAAAGGATGAGAGGTGGCTTGATAGAGGTGTACAAAATGATCAGAGGTATAGATAGAGTAGACAGCCAGAGACTTTTTCCGAGGGTGGAGGTAGCTTTTACGAGGGGACATATTTTTTAAAGTGAAAGGAGGTAGATATCAGGGAGACGTCAGAGGTATGTTCTTTACTCAGAGTGGTCGGGGCGTGGAATGCATTGCCAGAGAGGGTAGTGGAGTCGGCCTCATTAGGGACATTTAAGCGGCTATTAGATAGGCATATGGATGATAGTATAAGGTAGCGGTGGAGGTTAGATAGACCTTAGGTTTAGAGTAAAAGTTCGGCACAGCATCGTGGGCCGAAGGGCCTGTACTGTGCTGTACTGTTCTATGTTCTATGTTCTATTAAGGATAATGTGATAGAGATGTTAAGGTTATGAAATGGCTCACAAGAGTAGTTGGAGAGAAGATGCTTCGACTTGTAGAGTCGAGACTGAGACCCTTAGTTATCAGTAAATCAGATTGGGAATTCGGGACCCAAGTAGTGATAAAAACATGCAGCTTGTTACCACAAGGATTTGTTGAGGCAAAGAGTGTGAATCCATTTTGGGGAAACTAGATAAGCACAGGAGAGAGAGAAAGGAATAGAAGGATATACCAATAAGATTTGAAGAAGGAAAGTGAGGAGAGGCTTATTTGGAACATGAACATTGGAGCCAAATTGCTAGTATCTGTGCCATTCATTCCAAGTACATCTGTGTAACAGTCACCATAAAAGGTCGTACATAAAGGCTGAGGTTTGTCTGGTTCTGAAGAGATAGCAGCAGCCACAGACCAGTGACCCAACACGAATCAGTACACAATTAGAGTACAGATTCTCAAACCATATCGGGTCAGTTGGAATCACTCTCCTGGATGCATTTCCTGGATTTGTGACCCACACCAGGAATTACTTTTTCGGTCACTAATGCACATCCCTGATTGCACTTGGCTGTGGGCCTGGAGTCACATTGAGGCCAGTCCAGGTAACGATGGGGGATTTGCTTCCCTAAAGGATCTTACTGAACCAGATTGGTTTTTAACAACAATCATAGAATTTTAATTCAAGATTTGTATTGAATTCAAATTTCACCATCTGCCATGGTGGGATTTCAACCTCTGGCCCGTGAATATTAGTCTGTGTTTCTAGACTACTGGTCTAATGATGTTACTGCCAAGCCACAGCCTGCTTCTTGAGCACATTGTCAAGTCTAATGCACTGGTGCAGCAATCCTGCACTGCTAGAGGTGTCATCCTTTGGTTGAGACTCTAAAATGAGATCCTGACTATCTTTTTCCATTGTCTCAGGTGGACAGTAAAGATCGTGTCACAATATTCCCATTTCATCCAGTGCCAGCAAAATGATAGGGATTAATAATTGTTTCTTCTCACTGTTGCTTGTGATTGCTGCTTATTCAGAAGCATAGCTGATGGTATCTACATAGGAACAGTAACAAGGCTCCAAGAAATGCATCGAAGAAATTGTGTGACGTGGCACTAGCACTGGATAAGTTATTGTTTGATCGTGCAGTTTCATTTTTTCATTCTTGAGGCAAAAACTAAAAATCTTCCTGTTTTATTCAAAGGGCAAAGTCAGTTTCCTCCATGTCAGAGTTCCAGCGTTTGATGGACAGTTCCCCTTTCCTCCCTGGTGGTCCTCAGGTACAGATAGGCCTCGCTAAGGACGAGGCCACCCCACCACTGTCTCCAGATGACCTGAAGTACATTGAAGAGTTCAACAGAAAAAACTGGGGGTACACCAACAGGGATAATCCAACAGAAGCCTGGATAGAAAAGACTGAAAGTGACAAAATAGTTAGCAGCTTACCCTCGGAGCCTTTCCAAACTGCTTCATGGTACCTCACAACAAGCACCACAATGACAACGAACACCACGAGCAGCCAAGATTACACTCAAAAGCAGCTTCAATGGAGTAGCATGAACCCAGATAAATTAGGAGTGAGACTTTATCACAGCCCCCCTCTGATCCGTAGGTTTGATGGGTCAGCACACCCTAATAAGGATGGGACGAAAGTAGTTGACTCAGATTATGCATTTGCTAAGATCAAGGCAAATGGAAATGTCATTGAGCCAAAAGCAGGACCACCGGATATATTTGGAAGATGGCCGTGTGACATTGGCAAGCACCACAAAGACCTGCTGGAGGGTGGGCTGCATCCGATGGAGCACCCAATCTGTAGCACTGTTGGCTTCGCTTCATCACTGCATGACCTGAAAATATCCGGCAACATGAGTGATGACATGAAGGAGGTTGCTCATTCGGTCATCAGCCGAATACGTTCTAACTCAATTGAGCCCCAGTTCAAAGACATTGCGTGTCAGACTAATGACGAAACAAGTACAGGAACACAGACCACCCGCACCATCAGTGTAGGTCTGCAGACGGACTGTCTAAGGGGCATCAGCAGCAGCCCACATAAGTGTCTGACACCAAAGGGAGGCTCAACTCCAGTGTCATCGCCCTCGCGGAGTTTGCGAAGCAAACAAGTGGCTCCTGGAGTTGAGAAAATGCAGGCAAAATTTGAACGCACATGCTGCTCCCCAAAATATGGCTCACCAAAGCTGCAAAGAAAGATTTCAACAAAATCTGATCAGCCAAAAGATCGGATTTTACCCAACAACCCACAGAAGGGATTTAATGAATCAGCTTGGGCAAGGTCAACGACCACCCGAGACAGTCCAGTCCACACTACCATTAATGATGGCCTTTCAAGTTTGTTCAATATTATAGATCACACACCTATAGTTTGTGATACGTCACAGAGATTGTCCAGGTCCGTCAGCAGGCCTAAGGCCCCAGAGCCCAGGTCAAATTATGTCCTGGTTCAGGAGTTTTTGAAGAGTGTCAATGGCAGATCACCAAGCCCTGTCTGTGTGGCCATAGAATCAGAGGTGGAAGGAGATGGTGAGGATCTCATTGCTAAGCAGGGAGTGCCCCTTTCTCCAGGATATACACTTGCTGACAGCCCTGCCAGGATCTTAAACAAACAACTCGTTGAGCAGGCTCTTAATGAGGAACAAAATCAAGCTAAGAACAATCAGAAACCTGCCAATGATGATACAAAGGCAGATGATGCAGATGGATCGTCCCCTGGTTCCCTTGAGGTAATTCTGTTTCCTTACTTTGTCTGAGCTCTTACAGAGAATTTTAATAATTTCAAAAATATCTCTGTGCACTCTACAAAATTTCTGTGGCTGAATTCAAAGCTGTTGCAGGTCAAGGGACAACAGTTCAAGTTTGCGCCAAGAGTTTTGTATTTTAGTCCTTTACGGTTGATTAGATCCTGACACCTGTTAGAGATAGGTGTCTGGTTTACTGAGTTGTACGCTAAGGGGTGAGGTGAAATGGATGTGACACTGGCTACTTAGCAAACCCATTTTTGCTTGGTGGCGGGGAACAAACATTCCAATTCTGACCTGAGTTTAAGTAAGTTTTGGATTTGACATGGGGCTTAAAACATTGTCAAATGCCAAATAAGGTAAGCAGTTTTAACACTTTGTGTCCATCTACAAGTCTTTGTTCAAACCAAACTGTTGCATTAACAGTGAAAACAAACTGAATCCTTTCTGGTCACCATTTCAATGGATTTGATGACTCTGGGACAAGTCTGGGACATTGTTTGCTTTGTTATGTGGTCACAGGTTAATGGCAAATATATTTGGCTCTCCTTAATAACAGTGAGGAGCATGAGAATGGGAACACCCAACAAAGCTGACTGGATAGTGATCAGGACTTCAATGATTTCCTTTCCATGACCTAAGAGACACTAACCCTCAATGTAGCACTGTCTAGACTGAGATCATTTGCCCTCTACACAGATCAATAATTGGACACAAGATTCCCAATCCACAGGGTTCAGCACATTATGCCAGAAAGCACTGAGCTATCAGAGAGCCTCGGAAAACAAATGTTAACTTTATTTTCATTATATAATTTTGTAAAGCCTTTTGACTTGCAGTCATCAGAACACTCTCTCAGTAATACCAAAGTAAAGGGAAATAACATTTTATATGCCTAAGAAAAAAGTGCTCATTGGTTGGCGAGTAGGCAATGCCATTGGAGAATGCACAGAATAGGATCAGTCTATTAATGCATATGGCTGGCTGTGCACATTAGAATCAATTTAGAGTTGTCCTTGCATGTATTGGAAGCTACAGGGTCCTGGTCATTGCAGACAGAAAGAACACGTACACACACTGAAGCATACACAGAGAACATAGTTCTAGAGAAGAGGAATGCCAAACTCGAACCGTTAACTGTATTTCTGTTTCCGCAGACCTGCTGAGTTACCCCAGCATTTTCTGTCTTAGTATCCACAGTACTTTGCTTGCTTGTACATGCACTGCACTTGTTTCAACTCAACAAAATGGTGACAATCAATAGTTCATTCCTCAGGACAATGCCTTGACAAATCTGTGTCAACCTGCCTATTTAATTTTAAACAAAGCTTGGCAGTTAACTGCTGGTGATCACCAACTGGTGCAATCTCCATTGTAATGCTTCTACCAATCAGAGTCCACCTGCCAACCAATCAACACTCTTTTTCTCACTTTGTATTAAAAGTTTCCCTTTACAGCGGTGTTTCTTGTGAATGTCCCGATGAGCGCAAGATGAAAAGCTTCAGTGAAACATGCCCTTTTCATAGATACTCAGATTCTGTACTGCCAAACAGCAATGTATTTTATTCTCAAATTTCTTGGGAAGCAGTGGCAGTTGGAGCAAATGAGCACAGGAAGTGGCTGCAAGCATGAAGGAACAAGGTAGAAAATCTGGCATTTATCGGCAGGAATCCACATTAACTGCAGAGTGACCCTTGTTCCTGAGATTTCATCACATTTCTAGAAGGAATAAGTCAATTGAAAATGAATCTTTTTGCCCACTGTCAAGAAATATTTTGACGTTCTGATGATGCTTTTGACTTATACTGAACACCCAGCATTAAAAGAGAAAAACAAATGGTCCACTTGTAAAAAAGGAAACTTTAAAAATTTGTGTTTTTAAGATTTTGAAGGGAAATAAGAACAACTTTTTCCACTGGGGTGAGGATTCTCATGTGAAACCAGGGGTAGGACCTTTAGTAAAGCAAATCAAAGAAAACATTGAACAAAAGTTGATGGAAGTGTAGAATGTTCTCTCGCAGAAAGGCAATCAGTGCTATCTCAGTTAATGATTTTAAATTTCAATGTGCAATTGCTAGATGATTAGCTCACTAAGGACTATGGAATTAAGGCAGGTAAATGGAATCAGGAACCGATCAGCCATGCTGTTATTGAAGAACAGGAAAAGCTCAAAACTGAATGGCAAACCTCCATTCTATGAGACTAAAAGCTGATTTGCAGTTCAGAGGTTACGCTGCCACTCATTTTGAAAAACTCTGAAACTAGCCCAGCAGTGTAAGTGCCAATAATGTACCTTTATGGCTATGGAGTTATGTCTGTTGTAACACCTCAGGCTGATGTTTTTTGGTATAGCTCGTGGATCTCTTGAGAGAATATAGAGTTATTAGTGTAATCATTACATAGCCATCCTTGATTGTGATTACCACAATCGTGTCTGAAAGGACTGAATTTTGGATCATTGAAGCAGTTGGGGGTCTGGGATCAGTATCTAGCATCCACAAGTGAGCCTGCTGTCTAACTCAGTTCACTGTTTCTGTAGGAGAAGGAGTAGTCATGGACAGCCAATAAGCTTCAGCCCACACTTCCTTACAATTATAGCATTGATTTTAACTCTAAAACTACAGTACCAGAGCGTTTACAGTATGGTATATGTTATAGTAGTATGTATGTTACATATGTTCCCAAAATATATATGAAGAATACCAACACTTACCATTTCTCGGATCTGGAATGCAGTGCCTAAGAGTGCGGTGGAGGAGTGAGGCAGCTATGACTGTGACTTTCATAGGAGAATTGGTGAAGTAACTAAAGAGAAAAGAAAAGGCCACGGCGAAAAAACAAGGGAATGAAAAGCAAAATGTAGTTCTTCCAGAGAGCCAGTATGACCTATTGGGCTGAATAGCCTCCGTTCAATTCTTTATTATTATGATGTTGGTCCTCAAAATCTTTCCATAATAATTGATGCCAATTGGTATGTTACGTTTTATTAGTGTTAATATAGCTATTTCCTATAATGCTTTCACATTCTGGTGGGTGCTGAATGCTGGAAAATCCAGTTGAAGCTGCTGCCTGGACTATGGTTATTCCTGACTGGAAATCATGTTCCAGCCCAATCCTGACAGAAATTTGACCCTCAGATTCACCCGTAATTGACTCCCATCTGTTTGGTCTGTCAGAGAGAGGAGTGATAAACTCTATGGGTGGATGTTTCCATTCTCTACCCTCAAGCAGATCAGATTACCCAAAGGCCATTGATTTCAAAGTGCTAAGAAACTCCACCCTCCCATTTGAAGAATATCAAAGCTGCTAGGGATTTGTTTTGGGTTCGAGTGGAGAAGCAATTGTTAAAAGCTTTTTTTAAAAAATAGAAATCATCATCAGAAGGTCATTGTAGCTCTTACCTTGTAGCAGCTTCATAAAGTGATCTGAACCCACAGACCCAGGTCATTAGGGTTAGCCTCATTGGTCTGTTTGGACAAGGATTCCAGTAAAAGGAAAGAAGGTGAGATAGAGGTTGTCACTGCAAATGAATTGTATTGTAAAGTACAGGAGGGGCTTCCACATGTGGGATAGTCAGTTATAAATCCAGTGCAGAATTCAAAACTCTTTACACAGCAAGTGATTAGAATTTGGAGCTAACTCCTTGCCAAGAGAAGTAGTAAATGTGAATCAAATAGATACAGAAAGCAAGATTATTACTTGAGGAAGGTATAATTACATGGATATGATGCTGAGGAAGGGGACAAAGGACACCTGTGTAGGTAATTAACACCAGCAAGGACCTATTGTGCCAGATGGCTCTTTTTTTGTTCTAAAAGCTCAGTAAAAGATGCCAATGTACTCTTCAGTGCCAAACCTCAGACTTGCCATCTCCACTGCTGACTGCTGTGTCCCTTTTTTTGTGGTGTCAGTCGTGATCCCTTCCATTGGAATCAGGGCCCTTCTTGTTTGCTGGTTGTCTCCTTCCTTTTATCGGCCAACTTCTGCAAGAAGAAGGGAATTGTGTTCAGATGTGCCTCGTGCAGGTTGTTTCAACATGAGGGAGCCAGTTTACTATTGTGGGTACGGTAACAGGTAAAAGTATACACACGAGGGCCATGTCTGAGACAGCGACAAGTTTCCCACTGATCACTCTCTGGACTGGAACATCTTAAACTAATGGCTCTTTATCAAACAATGGAGACAAGGGAAATCTTTAAAGTGATTTATCTTACTTCATTTATATGTGCGTAAATTGTTATCAAATTCATATTTTACAGCAGTTTCTTTTTTATTGATTTATAATCTTCGGGTATATAATGTATAGTTTATACTACTTGCAGCAAGATTGATACTTTTGTATGAATTCAACAGTTTGTGCACAATCAGCATTCATTGAAATCATCAATTCTGCCTTAATCCTAAGACCCACAGTAAATTTGTCAAACCTCGTTGTACCTAATGCAATAAACCAAACTTAACACTTCATCTGTCAATTGATTTTAGGTTAGTGGACAATTAGTAGAACAAAAGTCACAATAAAGACAAAGGTTGGACATATTGAAAATCGTCATTGAGTAACTGAATCATTCAGGCAAGCTTACAAGTCCTGACATGTCACAGGAGTATCTGCTTCTGAATCTGTGACTGATCTATTTGGAGAGCGTCCTATACAACAATAAGACTACAAGTCATAGCCTTGGGGAACTTGATACTTTCTTATTGCCCCAGTTGACTGCGGTAGCTCTTTCTATACTACTCACTCCTCAGCTCGAAGGTTGTGGGTTCAAGTCCCCTTTCAGGGATTTGAGAAGAACATTCTAGACTGCAGGGTACTCCAAGACATTAAAGGCCATGGCTGGCCTCTTAGGTGGGTGTAAAAACATGTAAACTAATGACAAATTTGAAACATGAGCAGGGAGTTTATTCTCCAATGTCCTGTCCTCAATCACCATCACAAACAGATTCTCTGATCATTATCACATGGCTGTTTCTGAATGCAAAAGTGGGCTGCCACATTTCTTACATTATGG